GTTAGGGCCAGATCACGCCATCAGCATTGACGTCATCGCCGTGCCGGAGGCTGCCCCGCCGGGGCGTCCCGCACGGTGTGGGCGGAGTGCGAGCGGACGGGACGATGGACTCGGGACCCCCGTGCCAACAGGTCAAAACCAGTTGCGCAGAGGGAAGGGGTGATAGATTCGGTCTCGTGTGCGACGTTCAAGGGATGGAATGAATAGTGAGGTCACACGCAGCCCATCGCGGATGTTCTGGAATGTTGTTCACGAGATGGAGGAGAATGAAGCAGGAAGGGTCAGAGATTGAAGCAGTCAGGTTCAGAGAGTGGGGACTTTCCACATCATCAGTGGTGTGTTGGGGTTCTCAGAAGTGTGACGTAGGTTGAGGTTGGTCACGGGAAGGGGGTGGGGCCTCGTGCGTCAAACTGAGCGAGGTGAACTACGCAATACTTCACACTGGCGCCTCAATTAGGAGAGAGAACAGACCCAAACAGGAATCAATGAACAGCTGGGTCAAGGTGGAACTGGTTTTTACCAGAAAAACACTACGATCTTCGGAAATCAGGGATACTGCCGGTGCCTCTATCAGAAAACAAAATCTTTCTGATGTCGTACATGTTAGGACCTGACAGAAAACCGGTTTAATCCAGAAATGACCAACGTGCGTGGTCAAACACGCACACACCGTTTTGATCGTTTCAGGGCCGCGGAATGAAGTGCGTGGGGGACCGTTCACTTTGCAGACCTTTGAGTACTGTCACATGCTTTTTTTCATGCGGCCCTAACATCGCTGTATTTGTGATATGATAATGACTGGGGCTTTTACTTTTAGGCCAGTTGACAACAATGATGTCACTCACTTTAGATGTGATTTGTAATGATATGCACAGGTAAGTCATATTCCTGGTCTGCAGGCACATTTTATGAACAGACGCGGGCGCGGACATTGTCTGACATTACAAAATCGTGCGATACCCCAGTTACTATGCCAACTACCATTATTTGTTTATCGATATCTTGTCTTTTTTGCTATCTGATGTCTTGTCATTCTAAATGTCTGATTCTGTCAGGAGGAGAATCAGACAATGGAAATGATGTCATGTTCAGTTATGTAATGTCTTATGTAACGACATTTATATTCAGCATATTTAAGGCTTATTGACTATGCATGATGGCTGCAACCGCTGTTTCGCCTAGCCGCTTGCTGGCTACTGCTAGTCATGCACGAAGGAAATCATGCAAAGCAGATAGCAGGACCTGTAACCTGCAGTGGAGATTGCATTGAAACAGGCAAAAGGCATCAGTGGCTGCAGCGGTGGGCCATCTAAAATCGAGGCTGGTGAATTCGGCACTGTCGACCCAAAAGCTTCCCGAAAATCTATAAATCCCCGTTCCGTTCAACTAATCAATGATTATCAGAGAGCTCAACTGCCTTACATACACATTGGAAAATGAAGCAATTTCTCTTTGTGTCAATTTCAATCAAAATTGCTCCGGTAATTAGACCATGCAAGTATTGTGACTATTAATTGTTATAGACCAATACGATCTGACAAAGTAAAACATATAGGTATTGTCGCTCTCGGCGGTACCCTATCCTGAAAGCACTTTGAAAGGGGCATATGTAGACAACATGAACTACCTCTCATGCTCATGAAGCTCATATTATCTATGAAAGGAGCATTGGCGGGGGGGGGGGGGGTTGCCACCCCCCAGGTAGTCTTTCTGCTCTGCACTCAACATTTTTAGAGCTAGAAGCCTGATTTTTCGTATAGCTGCTCCTCTATCCTCTCTTGATAATCACGAAAAATTTCAAGTTTCTGTGGTTTTTGGTTTCGGATATATGACCTTGTTTTTCAGGTCATGTCATGACCCAAATGACCAATTCTCAACATCTTGCGTTGGCTATGGGCCTTGTGAGCTTTTGGCACCTTGATTTCGGCCTTTTTTGCCAGTCTTACCTCCCACCTATCATGGAACATGTTGTTCGACGATGTACAGATGTCAAGGTCAGGGTCAAGGTCAACCTAGGTCATCTAAAATAATTGCGTTTTAGGCAAGCTGAATTTACTTCCTTGAAGTTTTTTTACTGCATTTTTGGTAAAAGCTTCTCAGATCATGATGTCATGTAATATGGACACATAAACACTCGGTGCACACATCTGTATACACACATACACACACAGACATACAAATACATATAATTGAACTTGACCTAACTTGACCTGAAATGACCTGAGCAGCAAAAATCTGGTCAGGTAGTGTGACAAAGAGGTTCTAGCTGGCTTGGCACCAGAAAACGGCATCGTCATCGGTATATGCTAAGCAGCGCACTTGATATTCAACGGTGACCCAAAACAGCAACATTTTTTAGTTTGACCTGACCTGGAAGGTCAATGACTGACCTGAGAAGGTAAAGCTTGATATCATTGGATTTGTCTCTTCCCAAAGAATCTTTTTGGTCTTCACCACGAAGCTCATATCTCCAACAGGAACCTAATGGCGCGGGGGGGTGGCAACCCCCCCCCCCCCCGAGTGATGGTTGTGCGTTCTAGGATGGGAAAATGGCATGTGCGGGCGAGGGTTAATTGCGTCACTTAGTGCCATGAGATAAAATATGACCAAATTAGCATACCGTTATCTCTTTATCAGCGCTGCCATGTTCGGACCAGGGTCCGGACCGAATTTGACCGTTGCCAGATGCCGGTCTGGCAGCCGTCGGCTGATGATGGGCCGACCGAAACCGTGCCAACAGACGGCGGCGCCGACCGGTCGACCGGGCGGGCTCTGTTCATCGCGAGGGCTCGCCTATCGTCTGACTGCTTCGTAGAGCACTGACTGAGGATAGACTTCTGACAGATGGACCGGAGAAACCCTCATCCCACCCCTTCCTGCACCCCCCTTCCCGTCAGTCTGAGAGTGGCGCCGCGCCGGGCCGAGATGGTCGAAACGGCTGACGAAAATAATCCGTCAGCCAAGTAACGGTGCCGGCTGGCCCGCGGCGGAAAACCCACCTGTGCGCAGCGTCTGACGGCCCGGCTGACGGCAGTGGGGGGGGGGGGGAGCGGGGGGGGGGGGCGGCCGGTCCTCGGTGGGGGAGGGGGGAGGCGGAGGATCAGTAGGCGGAGTTTTCTGATGCAGAGAGGGGCCAGAAGCACGCCATACTTTGGCGACTGTATTCATTCATGTATGCGTAGCCTTGTGGATTTGCGTAAGTCGGTGGCTCGCGCATTCGGTACTGCGATCGCTTGTTGAAGGACACGAGCTTTGCGTATGTATTACGCATAAAGATCAGGGCCATTTATGGACTTCAGACTACATTCAGAATAGAGCTCAGTATGATAGCGGTGATTCTGATCATCATCCCATCATTTTAACTCTACGGGATGACTGGGCAGTGGCTCCAAAAACGGCCATGACCCAAGAGTTAAGGACAAATAATTTAGAAGACTTGTGGAGATGTTGGAGAAAACCAAGATCACTTTTTTTGTAAATTAACAAAAAAAAATCATTCAGCCATGTATGATGTCGGCCATCGATTTCGCCAAATTTAGCTGGAATCCCTGTTTAGTAGAGACTACAGTTCTTCCCTATTCAGACTATACCTACTTTCTAAAATTCGACATCCCTTGCCTACAGAAGTATACCTGTGGTGCATACTGCATAACAGTATAACATATATATATTGGCTTTCATTGGTGGCGACTATTATTGACTATATACCTATATAGAGATAAATTCGCCTAGAGATAAATAAATTCGCCACACATGGTAACAGAGCAGCAGCGATTGTGGCACCCCGTGCTCGCCGTGGCCAGACGCGTCGAATGAGCTATTTTTTGTTTTAGGTTGTTGACCACAGGTCAAAGCCACTCGGGTCGCAAAGCTGCTTGGAGGATGGCATGTTGCTTAACATTCGATGTGGCGGTGCTTTCGATGGTTCAACCCTCGCTACCTCAATTTGATGTGGAGTTATTAGCGAACACTCCCATTGCAAAACAACCTTGTGACGTCTTTGGTCTTATCTATGTGACGTCATGCAAGGTTTGAACTGCACAATTTAATTCTCAGCGTGGTAAGAATCATTATAAATCACAATGCCATGTGCTTGAGATAATATTGGTACATTTTCACATACCAAACATGCCTGCAACCGCGTGTGTTTCCATGCATGAGAATATAACGCGAAAGATGTCAGAAATGATTATTTGTTCATGAACGTTCATGAACGCTTAGGAGCTGTTTGTGAACAGATAATTGTTCGTGAACATGTGACCTTGAATGAAGGAATTCGTAAACCATCAAATAAACAAATAAACAAACGTTGTTCACGAACAAATATACACACATCCAACCCTGAAGCTTAGCTCCCAATCATCAAAGCAATTTTGAGCCTTTCATATAGCGGTTGCCTAGATGGGATGGTCGTCAGTTCAGAAAAGGCAACGTGAATGGAAATGAGAATGGGATGAACCAAATGTAGAAATGGCGGATATCTAGCGCTGGGTGAGAATGCGCACATAGTTATTACACATACAGAACTTAAACAGATCAGACTCTTTCTATGGATCATAAATATTTGACAAGTCATACCAAATTACGGTTGTTGAAATGGAGCACTGCGTCTCAATGATAGTTATTTTCTACATGGTTATGAAAGAAGTGGGCTGGGGTCTGAAGGTGCGCAATTTTGGGGAGGGGGGGGATAAAAGGACATCGCCGGCCACTGGATATGTCAGTGATTGTGTCACAACACCTTCAGGGTCCATCAGCACCGGATACTGGTCGTCCTCGGACCACCATATGCGCAGCGATCGTCCTGCGGCGCCGTATAGTAAATTCCGTAGTAGACGGACGGAGGCGCGGCAGGGGCTCGACCAATCAGCGCGCGCGCCGGCCGACGGGCCCCCGCACTCGGCTGCGCATCGCTCGCTGACGGTTTACATCAGCCTGCGTCAGCCGCTGCGCCGCGCCGCCGCGCCGCCGCCGCCGCGCGCCGCGCGTTGACTGGCCGACCCGCCAACTTACGTCAGCAGTGGCGGCACCAGCGTAAAAGGGAGCGGCCCGGGCCGGCAGCCAGCAGTCGTTGACGAGCAGTCAGAGGGGAAGCACCTTAGAGAGTTCTGAGAGCGACCGGCGAGCCTCGAGCCTCGAGCAGCACCGGGTTCGAGCGTGCCGATCGTGAGGAGACAGGAGGAGCGGACTTCTCTACGGTGATAACAGGTGAGCTGAGTGACTTCTTTGAGTATTCAGTAAATTAAATGAGCTTCGGCAATCATAAGTCGTTTGATAGTGGGCGACTGGGTTATTTGACTTTTTTGTAGTGAAGAGCAATTTGCAACACGAGTAAAATTGAAAGAAGTGAAATGCCTTCAATTGAATCAGCTGTGCTCGGGCTTAGCTTTAAATGCAATGTTCTCAACTTGCCTTTAGAAAGTTGTCGGGAATGCAATGATGTGTAGAAAGTTGAAACTGAACAAAATCGTCGCACTCCTCTCCCGGTTACGATGGCATCTGCCGGTCATCAGTAACTTTCCACTCGCCCTGTTCCGCGTAAGCCGTCTCTGGTTTTCTGCTGCCCTCCACGTAATGTAAACTAAGAGGTCTGGTACCTCTCCGGACCGTTTGACGAAGGCCACGATCACATACCATCCAGTTACCACCTCCAATTCTCAGTGTGTCCCTAGAGCTCGCGAGCTGACCTGCCTCTCCGTCTTTGCAGAACGTTCAACGACTCGTTCACCATGACCAAGGAGCTGCTGATGGAGTCGGTGGCGGAGCGCTCGGTGCTGCAGATGGCTACCTCCTCTCTGGAGACGCTGTCGGCGCTGATTGGTCTGACGGCGCTGGGCGTGCGCCCCCGGCCAGCTCCAGCGCCGGCGCAGCCCACTTACACCCTGAACGAGGTCTCTGAGCACTGCTGGGCCGACGACTGCTGGCTGGTGCTGTACGACCGTGTCTACGACGTGACGCGCTTCCTCTCACTGCACCCGGCCGGCTCGGACATCATGCTGGAGAGCGCCGGCAGGGACGCCACCAGCGCCTTCCACGGCGTCGGACACTCCAAGGAGGCGCTCGACATGCTCAAGGAGTACCAGATCGGAGTGCTCGTGCCGGAGGAGTGCATGTGGGACTCTGCCAAGTAGCTGCCGGCCCGGCCCGGGGGCTGGGAAGGGAGGGTGGCGGACTCTCAGGGAATGGCAGCCGCCCAGGTCAGCGCGCGGCGGCGCCATCGTCCACTCTGCGAGCGACCTGTGAGTGTTTTCATCGAATATTTATTGTTTTATATGTGTAGCACTTGTCGGTTCATGACAAACATATCATGTGCACGCTGTTAGTCATCGCATCGTCGCCCATTGTTTTGCCAAATGTGACATATCATCGCAATTTGTGTAAGCTCTTGTGTGTGATAAGTGATACCTGAATATATTACCAAGTGTGCTCTATGACATGTTTTGAGACGAGATGGGAAACATGAAAGAAGATAGACACAGAAATATTCAATGGGAGAATCTATCAATTACACGAACGAAGTCTTGCGTTTTCTTAAGCGTGTTTTTTCTTTTTGAGAGCAATCTATTGAATTTTGGGAGCACTCATTCTATGGTCATACACATGAAGGCAGCCATTTATCAGAAAAAGTGCCTTTTTTGGCAAAAACTACAAATGTCTCTCCTTAAAAAAGTTCCTGGGTCGAGAGTAAAGCGTATTCCAAAGACTACGGCGTAAGAACAATGCATAAAATTGCCACTCATTGCACACGAAGAACATATTAAAGACGTCTCCTCATCTGACCATAAAAAACGAAAAAAGAGGAAAAGTTGAGTATAGCGCAGACAAAATTGTCAATTCGATGACTAAGATGCTAGAAGACTCACGCTCTTCCCATTAATGCAATCATGTGAATGCGCACGCTGCACTGATTAATATAATGCAGTTTGTGCAATTATTTAGTCTACGCTCCTCAAGATTGCTCCACTGACTAAAGCGTGCAATACCTCGGATGCACTGGTGCAGACGGCCCAGCTACCGCTCTCGGAACGGTCTGCAGGTCCAGAGACTGAGCCCTGAAGTATGCGAAAACATTCAGATACGGCGCCGGCTGCCAGTCAGAAGCCAATGGTTTGGGTTGACGGGCGCCACGGCCGATTAGTGATACATGTGTACCGATTAATATATACCATGTTTTAGTCGAGCCAAATGCACCAGGGATCAGTAAGATGGGACTGGATGGTTCTGCAGGAGCCCCAGTCCCGAATTCACCTTTCTGAACTACCGCGCTTATCTAAGCGGTATGTCTGCCGTATACAGAACGGTATTGAATAGATAAAAAGACATTTGATAAATGTATGCGAATTCCGGTAGTTGGATAGCGAGGATAACGGTTCTCTTTGGGACAGCCAGTTGAAGGCCGAACATACTGGCCTAGCCTCCGTTCTCTTGCAGTGCTCTTCTCTCTATCGAATCTCAGCGATCAATTGATGACACTTTATAAGATTGACTTCTTCATCTTAACGGCCAAACAACACCGGTAATTGCAACTTTCAAAACATTGATTGTACTTCTCGGCAATTACACGTTTACGTCCAAATCTGTTTCACTCTGTATGGCAGCATTGTGTGCGGAGGACTGCAATATGCGCTGGTAGCTAACCTCTGTTGACATCCGCTGTGGACGCGCCCCAGTTCTGAAGGTGAGCCAGTCAGCGCTATCGGTCATCAGGCTTAGATATAGCAGCCGTGGCTGCTCTGCACGCCATATACAAACACTGAGGTCGTATTTAGATCTCGGCGACCTTCCGAGACAAGCCTCCGCCGACTGTTTCCACACGACACTGGCAAGATAGCAACAGCATGCCACAGAAGGCCTGTGCAGACCAGGGGCGGATCCAGAAAATCTCCAAGGGAGGGGCCATTAGAAACCAGGAGGCCCCCCCCCATAATCCCACCTGTTGGAGGCCCCATCTTCCCACTTGTTGGCCCCCCCCCCCCAAAAAAAACTGCGTCTATTGAGCTTATCTAGCTGTTCAGGCAACATCTCAACATCTGTGCAGGCTTGGAGGCCCTCTGTGCAGGTTAGGAGGCCCTGTAAAAGTGGTCATCTCTGTGAGTATAAGAGACCTCCAAGTTATGAAAAGCTTTACCAATCTTCTAACAAAGAAGTCTTCTCAGCTAGTCTTCTAAGAAATAACTAAGTGGGTAGGTTAAAAAAAACTCATCGGATTTCGGCCACTTTATTTTCAGGAGGCCCCCTTTTCAGCTTTTTAACTTTTTAACTTTTTATTTTATTTTTGAAAAAAATCGGCCAAGGGGGGGGGCCATGGCCCCCATGCCCCCCCCCTTGTATCCGCGCCTGGTGCAGACGGCACCAGGCATGCCCGGCTGTGTACTAGAGCTGGTGGGGCCTCTGAGAGGTTCCAACATAAAACGCCTCACGACTGACACGGTGAGCGCGATGACAGCCTATCCAACACGGACTTGTGGCTATTTCGGTACAAAGCTTCTCCAGGTGTTGGCTGGTTCTCTGAATGCGGTCGAAAGAATCGTTTTGTGTCAGCGGAATAGAAACGTGAGGAGCCAGGTGTTCGCGTTACAGCATATTTAACATTTCGATTTTTTTGTGTTCTTGCATTCGTTGATGGTTTCTGAGTATGCTGAGATTTTGAGTAATTATTTATTTTCGATTGCGAGTGACTTTAGAGTAAGGATGGATGTAACTATTCAAAGGAAATGCCGAGATGGAGAAACTTGCAGAAGGCAGAAGGAAACAGAAACAGTACGACAGAGAGTTTCTGAAAAAATATGGAATGCATTGCATACTTCGTCAATACCTAAACATCCAGCAGATTATGATTTCAATCTTTGCATGACTGTCAAATGGTTTAGGAGCCCATGGGTTCGACACTGGTCAGCAATTCCGAAGCGCAGTACCTATAGCCAGAAATAACTAAAATATCTGTCTCTTTTCCATGTGTCACGTGAGCGGACGCAACCGAAATGTATTTGTGGTAGCATCCTCCGGTCACGCTCCGCCCATCAGAGATCACGCCACGCTCTCCTGTCCTCTGATTGGTCGGCGGGAGGGCCCGCCTGGGGCACTCGTCACCGACCAGGCCTCGTCCGTATGAAGATGCGTTCGTATGTATTTACCTCTGGCGGCCAGCTGGACTGTTATCATCCCATGTCGCGACTGCCAAGTGCTGAATGTTTCCCAATACCAGCGGCGGATTGCGCACACACACATGGCTGAGCCATGCAGTGCCCCTGTGTTTACGTGATACTGTGAATGACACCAGCCGTATAGTATTGTTTATGGTGTTTGGCTGCACGTGTTATTGCATGTGCACGTTTCGACTGTTGAGCTTGGCGACAGTTCCAGAGCCATTAGATCTTACATAAAAGATGCAGACTGCATGCCAAGGCGACCAAGTCATTTGTTAACTATTGATAAATGAGAATGGTTAATTAGGCCCATACATTACTTGCTTATTGTTTTGATTGGCCATGAAATTATGATCCGTCTGTTTCTTTGTTTCAAAAGACCACCTACAAAGCTCGCACCGGTACAACGTTTTTGATCAGTCCCACTGCGAATTGTATAACCATTGGATAAGTGCATTAAAATGCGTTAACTTGTAAAATTGTGAATTTTGTTAAGCGATTAAAAAAGAAGGAAATCCTGAGACACAAAACAGAAAATATATTAGAACACGTTATATCCGGCAAAACTAGTAAAAATCCTTCCCGCTGTAGGGGACCTTTCCTCAAAATCAAATGACACATGTAACTTATGTGGAATAGCAAGAATGACATTGTAATTTCCTACTCTAATTCATTCATGATAAAGTGAATTAAAATTTCATTTAAAGTTTCTTAATTTTCAGAATTATTATTTCAGACGAACGAAGATAAATCGGTTGCTCTGCATGGAGGATAGTGCGTGTAAATGAGCACAGAGCATGTAAATGCATGCATACCTACTTTTGTAAAAAGACATGCAAGGTAGGCTGCAAACACTAAGTGTTAACCAAAAGGTCAGACATAAGGCTGCCTGATATAAGTATTTGAGCTTGCTGCCAATTATGCGTTGACCACACGGAACGGCGATTCCTGTGATTAAGTATAAAACGAGACTGTAATGGTCAAATTAGTGCACCAGCCTGCGGTTTGTTGATTTGATATACATACATATGGCTTAGTCAAGAGTGCACATGTCCCTAAAGCTTGAAGGAACCGATGTCAACATCATCAAACATTAGGTATAGGCTATAGCGCAACATTCGGCAGTCCATGTTTAACCCTCGCCGGACCTATTGGTTTTCTACATACGCGCCGGCCGAGGGGGGGGGGGGGGGCGGGTACGACCCCCCCTCGCCGTTTCGCCCCTGGTGGAGCTAGCGCGTCGCGGAAAAAACGAGCGTGTGCGCCGTTACGAGACGCAGAGATTGGTACCCGATTTTAAGGTCCTAGGTCAACCGGTGACCTCTGGGGTCAGGTCAAGTGCCCCAAGGTACGGTTCAGTTTTTGGTGAATAACTTCGCAAAAAACGGCCGCAGAGCGCCGATTTTGGCAGCATCGTGTTCGCCTTGCTCAGGCGCGTCGAATGATATACTTTTTGTCCGGGTCAGGTCAACTTGGGGTGTTGACCTCAGGTCAAGGTCAGGTCAGCACCCCCAGGTCACGAAGTTGGTTGAAAGAGGTCATGTCGCATATCATTCGATTCGGCAGGCCGTCCTGAGTCCATTGGTGCCTCCCCCGACTCGCTAGCTCAATTTGATCAAGAGTTATTGACGAAAAACTAATTTGACCTTGATGACGTCATAAATGACGTCACGCAAGGTCAACATTGCAAAAGTGACGCATCTAACCTTGCAAGGAGTGCATCAAATCACGATTCTGTGTGCTTGAGATAGTTGGAGATCGTTCCCGGCGCCAGAATAGCAGTTTTCATTTTTCCCCATTGACTTATAATGGTGAGGTCACGAAAATGACCTGACCTCATATGACCTTTAGGAAAAATCCGAGATATACAAGTTGTGGGACTCATGATGGATACTAGATCCTGCAAGTTTCATTTCCCTGTGACATCTCCTCTGGCAGTGAGGGCGTTGCGAAGTTGCGACATCTGAAGACCGTGCAGAGGTTCACTTATGACGTCATAGGTCAGTGACCTGACCTGACCCAAAAATGCGGTTGGTGTAAAAAGATGCGGCTTGGATCAAAGGTCAGGTATGCCAAGTTTCAGCTCTCTATCGCCAGCGTGTTCGGAGCTATCGCGAAAAAACCCTATGGGGGGGGGGCGGCACCCGCCCCCCCTCGGCCGGCGAGGGTTAAGATGTAAATATTTACAACAAAGAAGTAAGTAACATGCTTAGTGCTTACTCATGTAGTATATCCTTAAGGCTATCAAAGGCCTAAAAAACATATACCTATTTTTTCTTGGAAAG